TTTTTAATGTATAGTTAATGTAAACAACAAATACGAGATCAAAGTTGTAATACTGCAGAATTGTACGTGTTTTGTACTCACTCGTCATTCCCGACATTAGGATCTGGAAATAATGAATATGGGCTGTCAATTTATACACCTCTTTGGCATTTTATTTAGGAGGCAAGCCGCGTTAGGACAGTGAGCAACACTCACCAAGGACTAGACTTCTATTCTCAACTCTACCACTAACTAGCAATGCAACTTCCAGAACAATCTTTGTGTCACAGTTGCCTCTACTGTATCTATCTCTAAAGTCTCACCCAGATACAGTATTTTATGACTTAGAGCATAACATTTACTTTTTAAAGTTAGAGAGTTATTTTTGTCATATTTTTTGGCCATATTTTGGCAACAGAACAAATCATTTGCAGACTTTGTGTAAAGGACCTTGAAACAGATTTAGGAGTGAAGGGTGGGGGGTTAGAGGTAGTTCAGTTATTTAACACTAAACAAGGCACTAGACTTAAGAACACTGAGGGGAAAGTTAAGACTTAGTTTCCCCAGAGAAAGAATCTCTTCCTTAAACTACCAAACATTGGTTCTCCTTTGTCATTTCTGGCTGCTTAGGAGAAGGCATGTCATAGTATTCCTGGAGCCCACGGTGTGGCTGCTCCTATTTTGACCAACTAAAACTCCCCTTTGACAAACACATGCATTTCTACGGTTTTGTGGGTGATAAAGAACTTATAAGGCCACAGGTTCTCTGTGGGGTTGTGGGGTATAAGCAGGGTCCAGGGCACTGCTGATCTACCCGTCTATTTAGCCCTCATCACTCACACTGATCTGCATGTTTTAAACTCTTTCTAATAAAAAATTTGTACTGCCGTAGCTTATTAAATAATTTAATACAAATATGTTAAGTAAGCCACTGAATTCTAGCAAATTCAGATCTCATCCAAAGACACTTTCTACACATAGGAAATACTAGAGTAAATTTCTCAAGGTGGTTTAGTTTATTAGCTCACCTAAGAAATACAAATGCATTTACTTGAAAATGCATCTTTCTTAACTTCTTTTCCAGAGTCTTAACTAGGTTCTAGATCCTAAATGTAGCTCCTTTATTGGAATGTTAAATTACCCAATAAGAAAGACAGAATACTCCTCCCATACAAATTATCAATAGCTTACAGAAAATCAAGCTGAGCATGACTAATGTATCTGCTAACAATCTTTTCTTGCTTTTGTATATTTATGTTCAACAGTCAGCATCTACTCTAGTACTTACACTGTTGAAAATTTAATTTATTCATTTACTTGCTAAAAAGAGAAATCTTTTACAAACACTCCATGACCTACCTGCTCTAGGGAAGGTCCTAACCAGGGGGGAATCTCCCATTTGCCCATGTTCAATGTCCAGTGTTGCAGAACAGGGTGAGCAGAATAGTCAAGGTAACCCAAGGGCACCTAAGCTCCTTCAGAGTCAGGTCTTCAAATTGTGGCCTTTATTATTTTGCAAATATCATTTTCCACACCAGAACTACCCAGACAAATAAACTGGAAAGTTAAGTTTCAAAATAAGAATGTTTTGTGTTAATCTGTTAAGGTTGAGTATTCCTATGTCTGATCTTTAATAAAAAGGTTAATTGTCAGTAGTTAACATAAATTATAGACTCAAGAACAACCTAAGGCTAGTGTAAGGCATAAAAACCACTTTCACCATTAGCCATCTATATGAAAATTCTCTTTAAACTTATGATTTCGTAAACAGGTCTGGAATAAAAACAGAAGCCTGTTTTGAGAAACCTAGAGAAAACAACTGTGACCCTATATCTGACTGTCTGTTCCTAAAACTTTTCCTGATAGACCCAAAGATAGCTGTCAGCCTCCCCATCCCATTTAGACTGGGGGTTCCAGAATAAGAAGGGGGGAATCCCGTTGACAATCTGTCTTCAGCCCCTATTACTTAGGGACTTTCTCCACAATTCCAAAAAATGAAAAAAAAAATTGTTCGTACTCTAAATTAAGATTAGGGCTCTAAACCTAAAGGACAGCGCAGGTTCTTTATGTTGACTCCTGCCAAAAACCCTCCTGATCTTAAAAAAGACTGGAGTAGAAGGGGAAATGGACTAATTTTCTAAAATTTCTAGGGTACTATTTAACTTCTGTACTTCACTGTTTACTACTGCTCTCTAAAGTTAAGGACAACTTGAACACAATTTTAAAAAGGATCGATCTCATGAAAATATCTACCATGTGTGTATTATAAATTTCAGGGAAACTTCAGAGTTAATTTATTCACAAAGTTTTCATAGGGGGTGTCTTTATTTCAATTTTAAGTTTTACATCAAATATTTATCATGCATCAAATCAGTACTGAAAAGCAGGCAGGACCTTTTTGTGAAAGGTGCTAGGCAACAAATACCCTATTTGAAATTACAGACTGTTTCCCCTTGCCACAGATTTGTTAAAAACTTAAGCACAGTATCAGCAACACAACTGTGCTGGCAATATAAAAATAGCATTGGCTGTTTTTAAACCAAATTTACAAAATAAAAGTTTGCTCCGAAATTACAGCCCAAGCTCCCAACATGTTAGACTTGCTTATAGCTTCTAAATTTTACTTTAAAACCATTAGTACATTCAGGTGTAATAGAGAATCTAAATGTATAAAGAGAACTAGAAAAGTAGAAAATACAGCAACAATACCACTGTTTCCTCTCCAAAACGGAACACTTATAGTGTAGTTTTAGAATAACATGTTAATTTTTTTTTTTTGGTTTACAAAGGAACACATCTGCCTGAACTAATCTGATGAAAAAACACAACCATTTCTTCCCATTAGCTTTTGACTAAATACTAATGGTAACTAATTATGCTGGATTTTGGGGGTGCAGGGAATGGGAGACAGGTCTCATGGCAACATGAAACTTAAAAGAAACCCTTTAGTTCCACCACTTTATGCAAGACTGGGCAGTTTCAAAACATGTAAGTACTAAGATGTTAGCACCACATGGACACAGAAGGCTACATAAATTTCCTTTACATGGTTAATTAAGACCTTTTGATTTAGAGACACAGATAACCTGACTCTAACAGGGACAGATATACATACTGTTAATATGCTGTCCTGAATCAGCTACTGTCCCAGTGCTTCTGCTCTAAATGCACTTTTAACCACTGTTCAGTATCAACAGCTTTTTAATATCCATGTGTCTTTAGTATTTAAAATAATTTCCTTGGACAACTGTGATCTGCACTAACTAGCAGCTCATGGGAATTTAGAGGCATGAAACATGTGAATTACACTGCTTCAAACTTAAGTGGAACATAAGCAGATTCAGATTTGGGGCTAATTTATCTACAGGTTTTGGTTGGATATTTTCAAGGAAGCTGAGAGATGAAGAGGAGAGAGAGATGGTTGGTGAGAAGCAGAGCTTTTACCACCTTCCTGGTTTTGTAGCCCTGACAGGATTTCATGGAGAAAGGAAACTGCTAGACAGAAATTATCCAGGGGAGTAAAATCCATTCCCCCAAGTCTGGGAGGGCTCTGTGCCTGAGGAAGGGTCTCAGAACAGAAAGGCTGTTGGGCTGTGGAAGGAAGCTATCTGTGCAGGGGGACAAATGAAGACATTCTGCCTAGGGCAACCAATTCCACTTTAACTTGCTCAATTACAGCTTAACCAAATTCATTTGGTCTTTATAATAAAAGCACAAATCCTACGACAATCAAGCTGCCTCTATCCTGCAGTCACTTAAGCTAAATACCTCTTTACCACCTCAAAATTCTTTTTACCCTCTGAAAATGGGGGGAATCAGGAAGCTTCCTTTCCTGATTACCTGTCCAATGTCAAAACACACAATTTGTTTTCACATAGATTCTGCGAACCTTAAAAAATGATAAAAACATTGCTTCCATTCATAATGTATTGCAGAAATTAGAATCAAGACTTGGGATAGAATGCTTTTAATATGGTTGCTACAGCTGTTGGATTGTGTAAAAATCCAGGCTGGCATAGTTTCACGTGGGAGAGTAGCTGTGGAAGGAGGCATGTCCACAGAGAGCCTAGTCACAGGAGGAAGCCTGGCTTCAAGCCCTGACTCAGTCACTAACTCGTTCTGGGGCTCTGGGCCTTCAACTTTCATCTTTAAAATGACAGTCTGAAATGATTTTTAAGGTCCTCTTCAGTTTTAAGCTGGTCATGAGTTAACCACACGTTACAAGTTTTAAATGAAAATTACAAGAAAGAAATTATGAAAGACTTATCAAAGTCCATGTTTGCCCTAGATTAAGTCTGTCATCATTGTGCTGCTGTGGAGGCAAACCTGTTGCATCACATGAAATACTCTTTTTTTCTGACTTCACCAGAAATGCAAGAGGCAGTCGGCTGATTTTTCACATTTTTCATTTTTTGAAAAGTAAACATCAGTATGCCCCCTATGATAAGAAGTTGTCAGGTTTCACCTTTACAGTCTGTTAAGTACACACACGATGCCACTTGGCAGAATGGGGGCCACATGACTGAAGGTGAGGTGCGCTGGCTTAGTGTTAGAACCTTATTATCATGCGTGATTGATGTTTTGCGTTTACATTCACGCTTCATTTCCAAGCCACTCCAAGCCTTATCAGGGGGCTGTTTGAGACCTTCACTGCCACTGTTCTCAGAGACGATTAACCATGTATCAGGCGGTGAAAGAAGAGGTCTGCACAGCACCTGCCCATGTATTTAATACCTACCTCGTGTGGCTTATTCTCACCCAAGCGTGCAAGTTAAAAACAACAGGATTCAACCTCAGATCATAAATGGCCACATCTACTATGACACTGAAGAAAGGAAAACGAAAGAGCCTTTGACACTGCGCCTGGTAGAAGTGGAAAACCTCCACGTCCCCTCACACCGTACTGTTACAGTCATGTCCCCCTACACTAGAATGTTACCTTTTTAAGAGTTTCAAAGGTTTGTCGTTTCTCCCAGAAAAACACCGCGGGTCTGGAGGGGTTTCCAGCCCGGCGCACTCACCTCTTTGATCTTCGCCCTTTTGTTGCGGACGGCGGCGTCGGTGGGCTCCTGGTCAACCGGCCCGATGAGGGGCATCAAGTACACCGGGGGCAGCTTCCTGAACACCGACCTGTCACGCCGCTGCTCTTCGGCCACCTTCTCCTTCTCCAACAGGATGTCTCTTTGGATCTCTTCGGGCAGCTTCTGCAGCGTCTCCTTGGCTTCCCTCAGAGCCCGCTCGTGGTTTTCGCGGATCCTGGCCAAGTTGTCCTCCAGGGCGGCC